AGTCCCGCAACACCAAGTACTGGTGAAGATGCAGAGACACCGGAACTCTCCTCTGTGGCTGGTAGGAGTGTCAAGTGGGACACCCCTGTGGAAGTCGTCTGTCCGTCCCTCATAAAGTTAAACACACACCCACCCTAGGACAGCCGTCACTTAGAGGGATTCCCCCCAAAGAAAGGAAAGGCTTGCACGAGAATGCTGATGGCAGCTTTACCCTCCCCCCCAGCGCCCAAGGCTGGGGACTGTCCGCGTGTCAGTCAGCAGGGGGCCAGACAGGTGAACTCGAGGCACCCGTCTATCAGTGATAAACAGGAATGAACTACCGACACGTGCAGCAACGTGAATGGATTTCAAAACCGTGCTGAGCAGAACCAGACCGAAAGCACACCTGATTCCCCTCGAGTGAAACTCCGGAGTAAGCAGGACGGGCCGCGGTGACAGACGAGAGGTGGCGTGCCGAAGCCGGCTGGTCCTGGCCCCCAGAGACCACTGTGTGCTTCTCTCCCGCTCGCTGCCCTCGGTAGCGTCATGTTGGTGGCTCGAGGTTGGCCATGGTGGGGGTATGGACACCCAGAGATGAGCAAAAGCCATGAAGCAGAGGTTATACCCCCCTCCCACTTTTACCCACACCCCAGTCACTGGGCGTGAAGGAAATTCCTGGGTTGCTGAAATGCTCTGTCTCAATAGGGCATGGGTTACGTAGGCGTTTGTCAAAACAGACCAAGCTGTCCATTTAAGATTTGTGTGTTTCACAGCACATACATTAAACCTCGACTCAACGTGCAAACAAAAAGGTTGGGTGTCTGGGTCCTGCCTCAGGCCCAGCAGACAAGGCCTGATGCATCCAAGCGGGCATTGCACCCAGGGCCCGGGTTCGGAAACCACTGCTCAGGCGTGACAGTGAGCACAGGGTTTATTTTGAAATCACGGTCACGGCAAGAATTCTTGGGGCCAGCTCAGGAAAGGCCTGGAGGGGCCACCCTTGAGAATTTGGACCTTCTTTGCGGGCAACAGGTGGTTTTTGAGCAGTAGTGGGATGGGCTTGGAGTCCGTGTGGATCCGCATCTTACAGAGTCTGAATTTCACTGGACTGGACGTGGGGCCAGGAGACCGACTGCAGGAGGAGATGTAGATCAGCACTAGGATAGACCCCAAAAGGAAAAGTGGGGGGTCGTGTGGCGGGGGAGAGGCACTGCAGAAGTAAAGCAGGCGGGAAAGGGGCTTGGCGACAGAGACTGGCTCATGAAGGGAGACACTAACGGCTCACACCATGGAGCACCGACCACCAGCCAGAAGCACGGCTGCAGCTTCATGCGGCTCGATTCGTTTAACCCTCGCAGGAACCTTCCTTGTGGAGGAGAACGCTCTTACTGTTGTCATCTCACAGCTGGGGAAACCGAGGCACGGGGCACTGAAGTGCGTGCACTAGGTCCCAGAGCTAGCAACTCTAAAGTTATAATTGCTTAATTAGTTGGTACCAGGGTACGATTTGCATACAGTACAATGCATCGATCTTAAACGCGCAGTTCCCAGAGCTGTGGCAGGTGTGTTCGCACCTGTGACCCACAGCCCTGTTGAGAAAGAGATTCCCATCGGTCCAAACGCCCTCTGGTGCCCCTTACTCCTACTCACCGGGACCGCCCCTGGGCCCGTGATCGCTGACTGTTCTAGAAGGCCAGACCAGTGACATCAGACAGTACGTATTCTCTGGTGTTTCTCAGGGATCGAAATTCAAGCAGATCTGGGGAAGAAATTTAGTCCGCTGAAGGGAAACCCATATCCTTTGATGATTTCTGGAAATGTGGAAATGGAAGGGCTATAAAAAGTGTGGCGCGTGAATGTGGCAGGCCTCCACGGCAACACATCTCTGCCTCGACCCGAGCCATCTCTAGACCCGAGAGCGGGAAGGGACGAAGGCCCCGCGCCCGGTCTCACGGTGCAGCTGGGTCGGAAGGCTCTGGAAAGACCTCTGCAGGCCCAAACAGGGCAAAGGTCACCGATGATGCACGTGTCTTATTTATTTTATTTATTTACTGACAGATTTTATTTATTTACTTTTAGAGAGAGGGGAAGGGAGGGAGAAAGAGGGAGAGAAAAATATTGACGTGAGAGAGAAACATCAGTTGGTTGTCTCTCACGCCCCCCCAACTAGGGGACGACTCGCAGGTCTGGCAGCCAGTGAGTGGCTACACGAGGGTGCTACATCCAAGGCAGTACAGCATTACTCAGCCTCGTAAAGGAATGAAGCAGCGACACGTGCTACAACGTGGACGATCCCTGAAATCACGCTCAGTGAAAGGAGGCAGACTCAGAAGGCCACAGAGTGTGCAATGCTACTTCCTAGACGTGTCCAGAACAGGCAAACCCACAGAGACAGAAAGCAGACTGGCGGTTGCCAGGGGCCGGGGGTGTGACTGCTTTAACGGGTCTGGGGACGATGAAAATGGGATGGAGCGAAATAGCGGTGATGGTCGCACGCCACTGTGAATATACTACATTGCATACTTGAAAAGAGTTACATATTTTTAAAAATATGTTTAAAAACCTACTGGGTTCCTTGTGTCCTATTGAATGTTATTTCCCGGCCTTTCCTCCAATGGAGAGAGGAACCCAAATCAAATAACCACCACCGCACAACAAACTCCTTCCAAATACCCCAAAAAGGGACCCTGGACGGGGTAGGTGGGCGGTGGCTGCCTGGTTGGAGAAACTCACAGAGTGAACGCTTCACTTCGCCCGGGCCTGCAGGGGCAGCCCACTGCAGGTCTAGGACGCTCCCCGGCTGCTTGGGTGTGGCCCCGGGGCAAACACGACCCTGCTCTCCGGGCCTGCATCCCGGGCAAGGTCATGGCTGGACGCTGAGGCCCAGGGAAGCTCAGAAGCCCACATTTCCCGTCCCGTCCTAGCTACCTGCACCCCCTTTCCTGATTGCAGCCCAGCATTTTACTCTAAAGAGAAAAAAAATAACTCATTCGGTTTAAGATTCGTAGCATCTGTTCATGAACACAGACTCTTCCCTGTACCGTAAGGGGAATTTTGATTGCGTGTTAGTTTCTTTTCTTTCTTCCCTAGCAAAACCCCCAGCGTCCCCGAGGTGGTTTCTGACTAGACCTAGCACTCAGGCAAAGGGGCAGAAGACTGCAGGAATCATTCGCAGGAACAGCCTTGCCAGTGGTGGGACTTCAATCTCCCCCATGACATTAATTCTGCCTGCTCAGCCCCCCTGCTCAACTCCGGGGGAGTTTTCCTCTCCCCCAGAGCACTCCTCTGCCCCCTCCAACCCTCCCATCTCCACCCTGGCCCGGCCAGCCTTTCCCACGCCAGGCTACCCCGATGCCCCATCTTCAGGAGTCACCCCAGCTCTGGCTCCTAGTGCGCAGGCCCTTCGCCTGCTCCCCCAAACCTCCTCACAACTCACCCACCCCACCTGTCTCCAAGACTGGACCCCCTGAGCCTCCCCCGTTTCATGTTGTAATTCTGGCCTGAAAAATACTGTCTTGCATCCACGTGACACTCTGCTGCGGGCTGGCCACCCTGCCAGGTGGCTCTTCTCCAGGCTCCGCCCACATGGCATTTTTGGAAACTGGATTTGTTGTGGTTCCTGTGCAAGCAAGACACTCACGTCATGCTTTAGCTTTCGGTCACAGGATGAACCCTTGCTTCGAAGGCGGAGTTAGTTACCAGCCAAGCCCCCGGCTGGGCTTTACTGGACCCCGTCTCTGTGAACACTTTTGAAGCTGGTAGCTTTTTTTTTTTTTTTTTTTCTGAAATCCTGAGCTATATGCAGCTACAAGCGACACCTGGCTGTTTTGCATGTGTTTGGGGGCCACCCAGCCAGGTGGTTCTTCTGGAACACCCCAGCTGGTCTCACCTCTGTGTAACGCCCCTCTCCCTGGCCACCCGGGCGAGGCCAGGCAGGCACGTCCAAGGGAACCCGGTCTAAATGGGGCTCTGCTTTGGCTAATGCGGCCACAGCTCTCTCTCTGCCTTGGAGACGGAGCTCAGAGAGCCTGCTGGCTGGAAAACGGGTTGTGCTGTGTGGTTACCTTAAAGCCACGATGGATCTGGGCAGGAACTGAAGGAGAAGGTGCAATCGGAAGGGGAAATTGGGTGCTAACTGGCCGGGGGATCCCGGGAGCAGGGGTGGGGCGAGATAAGTGAGGAGTGCCTGCTGTGGGGGCTGGGGCGGCTGTGGGCTAGGCCCCCCGCCCCTGGCCCTGATGACCCGCCTCTCTGAGGGGCAGGTTTCCCAAGCACAGATTCATGGGCGAACAGCAAAGAAAATACTTCCCACCGCTAAAACTTACCACCACGGGGCATTTGATCGTCCAAAGGCACAGAGAGCCATGCTGTGGACTGAAATCTCTGAACTTCCCAGCGCCCAAGGGGCCCAACCACGACTTGGAGAGCCTTGGAGAACTCCCAGCCCCCGGCCCCCCCCCCCCCCCCGTCACTCAGTGGGGAAGAAGGAAGTGGTGAGCCACGGGGCGGCTGTTCCCCATCCCACCCTCAGCAGCTGCAACACCGATGCACCACGCATGGGCCCAACCAGCTGGCCGGGGACACCTGTTCCGGCCCAGCTCCCTCAATGCACAGACGGAGGCCCAGAGATAGGAAGGGGTGTATCCAGCTCACACAGCCAGTTTGGGGGGAAGACGGGAACTCCAATCCAGCTCTCCTGGTGGCCAACCTGTGGCTCCTCCCACTCACCCTCTCTACCCCTGGGCTTGAGATTAAGATTCCCGGGAGACCTTCTATAAAACGGAAGAAAACACCGTGCCCCAGAGTCTGCAGACACACACAAGAGAAGCAAAGGGAAGACAAGCGTCTCCATGAAATCTTCATGTAGCAAGCTGGCCACGTGACCTCTAGTCCAAGCAGAAGCTCAGAGAAAAGTTCAGGCCGGGGTTGAAAAGGCAATACGCTTCAGAGTTTTTTGTTTTTTTTTTCAAAACACGTGGCAGACTTGGAAAAACAGTGTGTTCCAAAACAAGTCAGTCCTATTGCCTCACAGAATGTATTTTTATTCATTTTATTGTTTTGACCTCTCTGCTAACTCAAGGCTATTTTTTTCACCCCCCAAAGCTATTACCATCATTAAAAACTCAGTTTTCCAACACGGTGAAATTTTGTTTTTTTGCTTGAAGTGCCGGGAGACAACGCATTTTCTGGCCCTGGAGCAGGGTCTCCTGAGGTCTGGCGCGGGAGCCCCCCTCTGCCAGGACCTGGTTTCCCACGAGGCTCTAGAAAGGCGAGTACTCCCTGACCAAGGCTTCCCCTTTGGTGGAGCTGGGGGGCAGGGGTGTCGGTCCCAGGTCCACTGGATGGCTCCAAGGCGAGCGCCCTTCTGAGGTCCCCAGGTCCCCCGGGAAGGAGAGGAGCCGTCCACAGTCAGCACAGCAGGGATTCCCGATGAGCAAAAGGCCTGGGGCCCCAGAGCCTCTGCTCTCTGCAGTGACATGAAATGCTCTGTCCTTTTGAGACAGGATAGTGAGAAGCGAGGAACGTGTCTTGGCGAGTAGAATAGGGTAACGGAATCAGACAGCTGAATGCAATGGCCTCGCAAAGTACAGCCAGATACAGAAGGTCATCCACCTCCCTAGACCTGACATCTAGGCCTCACCTGTACTTCAGCTCCAAGCCCAGAAAAGCAGCAAAACCAGGTGGACGACACGTGGACCAGCTGCAGTGATAACGCCCTCCCACCCCGCCCCCAGTACTGACCAATCAGAGGAGACCGTGGCTCTGAAAGGGCGCACCTGGAGAACTGATGGACACTCTGCTGAGACCTCCCCTGAGATTCCTGCCGGCAAGATATAAAAGCCTCAACACAAAGGCCCCAGCACACACACCCTTCCTCTGGGGAGCAGCCGGTGCCATTCCCTTCTTTACCCTCCACTTCTTTCAACACAGGCAGGCGTCTCCTAAACTCTCAGGCACTGGGCAGCTGGCAGCGTGTCCCTGGCTACTCCCCTGAACCTGTCCCCGAGGCCACCTTTTCTCTCTGACTTCCCAGTGAGCTAAGGCAGCCCAGCCTGGCCTCTCCTGGGGCTTCTTCTATGCTAGGCCTTCCTTGTTTCACTGTCTGCAGCTTCAACAAATGTACCCTCACAGTCGCTTGGACGCATGTTGTGAAATCTTTCTTACGCAAAGTCAAGAACCCACACATGACAGCTGGCCCCGGGCAGACCCACTCAGGGCCAGGCCCCTGGCTGCTCACACTTTGGGTCCAAACCCTAAGAAAGAGATTTTTGCCTTCATGGCTAAGTGGGTGCTTCAGTGGGCTCAGAGGGCGTCCACAAGTCCCAAAGATGCCTCGCTCCTTCCCCCGTACCCCCGTGCTACTGGAAAAGACCCAGGCCACCGAGTCCACCAACGGCTGGCTTTACGCTGTGTGCATGCACCTAGATCTGAAACGCCCTTCCAGGGAGCCCCACCCACCAGCATCGGGCATCTCCTAACGTTCGGCCTGCTCTTGCATCCACACCCGGCTGCTACAAGCGTTCTGGGGGTGCTCAGTCCTCAGGAACCCAAATACCCTTGCACAGACCCCAGGTCCATCGTCCCCAGGTTCTCAACTCTGACCCCCATCCTAAGACCACCCGCACCACCACTTGCTCTGTCTTTTACCCGGGGCTCCTCCTCCCTTGTCCTTTCCCACGGCCTTGGGCTGGGTGTGCGTCTCTCCGACCTGTCACTCACTTTTGCCATCTTTACACACGCCCAGGGCTCTGCTTCTCCATTCCTGACCTTCGCCATGCCCGCACCCCTCACCAACCCTCCACCCCACCCACCCCCAGCCAAACCTGAAACCAAACACCCTCCCTAACACTCCCTAAGTCTTGCCCCTCCTTGGAAGCCCTTTCTTGACATTCACTGACATTTCCTCATCACTGGCAATAACCCTCCGGAGTGCTGTTTGTGAGTTCCCCTCCTTTCCTCGCTGGGGGTGGGGAGGGGAGGGCGATGTTAGTCAGGCCCATCAAGACCTTTCTCACATCTTTTGCACACCACGGGCCGCCACCCATTGGTCGGTTTCAAACTCATTTTAGTGGGCTGCAACCGACGTTCCAAAGAGAAAAAGAATCAGAACAGCGAATATCAGAGTGCCCCCCCCATAGGAAGGGTGAGTATTGTTTGGGGGCACTGTCATTTCAGCGTGTGCTTCCTCCATATCTCAATGTAAAATATATTCCTTACTGCGGGTTGCAGCCCCCCAAAGTTTGGAAGACCCTGGACTACCAGAGAAGCAGCCAAAACACTGAAGACACATTGTTACTGAAAGTGAAGGGGCTGAGAGGTGGTTAAAGAAATCTGCGTTATCACGGAGGTTCCAAGGGCCCTTCGACCCTCCTGTAGGGGCTGCAGGTGTGTGTATGTGGGGCACCGGCCTTGGGTGGGGGCAGGCACCGTCAGGGAGAACTCCCAGGAGATGTTTGGAGAAACGGCCAAGAGGCACACCCAGCGCTCTGACTCAAACGTGTCTATAAATCACAGACTGAAATCTTCATTTGCTGTACTCAAAATCAAAAGAACTTAAAAGGGCTATGGATCCACCGGAAAAACTTCCACCCAGCCTCCAATGCTGCTTCTCCAGCCCAGAGGACACGTCCGACGGGAGGGGGCGTCCAGCCAAAGCTTGGAAATCTACCGGCTTCTTCAGTCGGGCCGTCAGAAGCTACCAGTTAGCATGTGACGGCACCCAGGTCTCTTCCCCGTGGAGGGGTGGCTGTCCCACGGATCCTCGGCCGCAGGCAGGCCTGGCTGTGCTCGGCGTCACTGGCAGTAGAAGGTGAGCACGTTCTCCTGGTTTCCTCGGATCAGGATGACGGGAGGCCTGAGGTCCTGGGACAGCGTCTCCAGCCAGGCCATGTACAGCGAGCTTGGGCACTTCCCCTTCCTGCCTATGGGCAGGGTGCTGCGAGACGGGAAGAAAGGCGGACGAGAAGTCACCCAAGGGCCCTCTGCACGCAGCCCAGCTCGTGGTTTGCTTTCCGGACAGCAACTCTGCCTAGGGACCCCGCCAGAGCTGCTTCTTCCCAGCCCCCCTAAGAGTGACCCCCCCACTCTCCTTAAAAGCATGACTCCAAATGGACCGTCAGCCACGGTCTGCAAGGCCTCCGTGATCCGGCCCCCGCCAGCCTCCCCAGTCCTACCTCCCACCACCCTCAGCCTCGCTCACAGCCCTGCAGCCACAGTGGCTTTCTTACTGCCCCTAAAAGAAAAGCCAAGCTTGCTCCTGCCCCAGGGCCTTTGCACCTGATGCTCTCTCCACCCAGAAGGCAGCACCCCCAGCTCCTGACCTAGTTGGCTCCTTTGAATCACTCAGATGCTGGCTCACGTGCACCTCCTTCTCCGGTCACCCCCTCCGCGGCAGGCCCCAACCTCTCCACCGTATCGCCCTGTGCCACTGTCTTCTCACGCAGTCAGAACCTTCCTCCCGCTTGTTTGTTTGTTTGTTTGTTTGCTGTCTGTCTGTCTCCCCCCGACTAGAATGCAAGCATGCCCACTCACGGGCAGGCTGGGTCCGTCTTACTCATGACCCTTCTTCCTGTTCCTGGAACTCGGTCTGAGGCAGGTGGGAGGTTAAGTGGGTGACCCCACCCATCGGGCCACTTGAGTCAGGCCAGCCTTGCTTCTCCAGCCACACAGCAGCTGCTTGCGGCCGCCAGGTGACCCGTTTAGCTGAGTGTCCTTGTCCTGCCTCCTGCCCCGTCCCTGAGGCCCCCCGGGAGCAGGTCTCCGCCCTCGCCTCGGGAGGGCCCCTGGGGCGGACTGCAGTGCTGTGGAAATAACGAGCGGTTCCTTGGAGGCTGTTTAGCCAGATGTTCAGGGCTATGTCAGGCAGTGTCTCAAGACAGTTTTTCACTGTCTTGAGATTCCGGGAACACATCACAGTGACCCCATCTGGCCTGCTCTGGGCTCTGGAAGAAGCCGGCATCTCACAGAGCCAGGTGCAGTCACAGGAAGTCGGGGCCCCGGCACCTGACAGGGCTCCACACCTTGATTTCCCAAAGGAGGTGCATAGGTATCACTCCGTCAGAACCTCAACACAACTCTGGGGAAAGGGCGGGGCCCGAAGCTCTGCCCTCTCCTCTGTTGGGCCTTGTGACAGAGGAGGTGTCTGCGTTGTGTCTTTGCCACTTCCTCAGCCGTGTGGCTTTCACAGATGGCTCACTGTCCCTGAGCCCCGCTCTTCTCCTCCTGAGAGTGTGGACTCACACGGCCCCCTGCCAGGATGTCGGGTGCTCGGGAGGGGACGAGCACACCCGGGGCCCCGAGCAAGCGTTTGGTCACATTGGCAGCGGTTCTTGTCGCTTGTCATTGCTCACCAGCACGAGGCGGCCGAGCCCGTGAGTGGCAGAGCTGGGACCTGACCTGGGTCCTGGGCTCGCCCACGCCAGCTGCCTCTGCTCACTGCCACCCCGTCTCCTGCTGACAGGGTGAACGGAGGTCCCGAAACAGCCGCCCCTTACTTCCAATCCCACCTTCGAGCCTTCCTGCCGAGCAACACTCCCCTCTTTTAAAAAGCAAAGACCCCCAGGAGGAGAGGTGGTGAGTGGGAGCAAGGACATTTCATTAACCGAGTGTCACCTCGGTTAGAACGAATTTGTGTCCGGTGACTCTCCAGGGGAAGGGAAGTGGCGAGTCGAGAACGGACTTCCCCATCGCACAGGGGTGCCAAGGGCTGCAAACGCCCTCTGGGAACTGTTACGTCGTCCTCAGGTACTGCTGCTTTCGGAGGCTTCCTAGGTCACGAGGGACTGGAGGCAGCTTCATCACGGCTGGGGACACCCATCCCTCCTGCCGTGGCCTCTCGGGCTCAGTCTGTGCACCCCGGGGAGAGACGGGCTCCCCCGGCGCTCGGCCCGGCGCCAGGCGCCATCACTGTGCTCCTGCCCACCGGGCGAGTGCACGTGAAGCTGCTTATCTTTGGGAATAAAGCCACTCCGGCACAAGGGATGTTTTGTTCAGGGTCGCATCTCTGAGTCCCAGACAGGCAGCCTTGGATCCAACCGAGACACAAAGCCGTGACCCTGCGTCCGAAACAGAACTGTGTCACGGCCTCAAAACCAATGCCTGCTTCCCCGCGGTGAGGTCCCGGGCGAGTGGCGTAACTCCTCCTCTGGGGCTCCGTTTCCTCATCTCCAAAGTGTGTGTGTGTGGGTGGGTGGGTGGGTGGGTGGGTGGTGGGGGAGGGGTGTGGGTAAAGTAGAACCCCTTCACAGAGTTTTGAACATGAATAAGGCCCAATAACTGCAGGGTCAGGGCTTTGAGGAGGAAGTCCTTATCGAAAAGAGAGGGCTCACCTGGTTTATCAGCAGTGCCAGTGAAGCTGAACGTAACCAGGGGAACTGCTGGTTTGCGGGCACTGAACAACCGATTCCTGCCTCCCACCTGCTCCGGAAAATGGGCCCGTGTGCTCTGAAAATGCTAGGAAATGTGATTTTGTCCTTTTACAGCGAGGCGTGGGAGGATTCTGGATTCCTCAGAATTTCTGGGGAATGTGTGTGTCTCTGGACTCCACCCAAGGCCCTGGTCTGGAAGGAATGGAGGAACTCATCATTTTCGACAGGCCCCTGGCGGTTCTGTGGAAGGTGACCCCGGAGTGAACCTCTAGAAGGACATCTGGCTGGGGATTAGTGACACAAGAATGCAGCTACGTGCCCTCCCAGAAGAGTCAGCCCCACAGCCAGCAGCCAGGCCCTTCGAGCAACAGCTGTTGGCCGCCACCTGGGGTGCGACACCGTGTGCCAGCGGCTCCTCTGAGGCAACTGGATTCAGTGTTGTCTGTGCCCACTGACCCCACAAAACCTGGGGGTGGGGGGCTGGCTTCCCCTCTGAGGCCTGGGAGTGGGAGGCAGAGTCGCCTCCCAGCTGCTGAGAGCCTGAGTCATGTGAGTGGCAAATAGAACCGTGACGTGGTAGAGCAAAAGGGCATCTCGAGAAGCACTGAGTCTCTAGCTGTTGTCTAGAACCGGGGAAACCGAGGCTCAGAGAGGTCGGACTGTGTGCCCAAGGCCGCACAGCGAGCTGCGTGCAGAGACAAAAGGCAAGCCGGCCTCCCTGAACACAGGCGGCGCTCAGGAGGGGGTGGCGTGGCCTGCCCGTGCACCCCGGGTGGCGCACACCAGGGTCCCAGGATGAAGCCCCTCCCTCCTCCTGGCGCCGTGACCCCGTCTGCACCCAGGCCGACCTTGCCCCAGAGACGTTCTCTGCAGGGTTCCGGCCAGAGGCTTGGAGATAAATCCAGCCCTTCTTCTCCTCACCCTGGTTTCCACATCAAAGGGAGCATTTTTTGGCACAAAAAAACGATCTCCCTCAGAGCCCCCAGGAAGCCCGGTTTCAGGCAGAACCAGCTCCACGGGCGAGCAAACTGCACATTTTTCGCGACCCCGTACTTAGAAGGGTCCCGTGCGGGGCGGGTCCCACACTGGGCTTAATGCCCCGCGGGCCCCATGTTGACAGCCTTAGGGTTTGAACAGAGGGTCCCCGCATTTTAGTTCTGCAACAGGGCCCCACAAATGGTGCCTTCGACCCTGGTTTCAGGGCAAGAAGAAAAGCAGGCTCCACAGGCTTCTTGGCCGAACTGCAGAACTCCCTGGCGGTCCGCCCCGGGAAACCTAAGAATGGCTGACGTTTGCCTTGGCAGACACCCCCGTTCCCTCCGAGCTGGCGGAGGGGACTCAGGCGGCATCGCTGGCCACGTTCTTCCTCCCGGCCTCCGAGAGAATACAGCCACCGTGACACGCTTTCCGTGCCATCGTCACCGTCCGCTTACTCAGCCTTGGCCAGTGCCCACCGGAGGCGGCGCACTCCTGGACACGGGCAGCAGCCACGAAGCCGGAGGGCCTGGCGGGCATGGAGCCCGAACAGTGGGCAGCGGCGGCCTCGGCTCCTGCTGCCCAAGCTTGGCATCGACCTTAACCGGGGGCCACCGAGAGCCAAAGAGGGCTGGGTGACCCCCAAACAAGCAAGCATTGATCTTCCTCTGGAGCGACCCAGGTCCCCTTGGCCAAGCCGAGCTGGGCAGCAGTAGGCGACGGCAGGTACGGGAAAGGCAGTGGTGAGGGGCACTGGACAGGCCTGGGACCGGGAGGCCCTAGACCCCGGCCAGCTGGCACTGCGCAAGGGGACCGTTCTGAGACGTCCTTGATGAAATTACAGCGGCCAGAGGGCGGGAGGAAGAGACCGGCGGGGGGTGGGGGGGGGTGTCAGTCCGTTAGCACCTGCAGGGCAAGACCAACAAAAGACTGCTCCCTGTCCTGAGTGTGTTTTGGAAGGCGGCCTGACTTCCAGGTGGCCGTTTCCACCATTACCTGCCGGGCCCTTCGAGCAACAGCTGTCGGCTGTTCGCTCGCAAGAGCCAGTCACCAGGTGCAGCCATCCCAGCCCAGGTGCCCCCGCTCACTGACACGTGAACCTTCCAATCTGCCGCCCACGGCCAGTCCTTGGGAGCAGACCCTTCTTCCTTAAGCACCCCCCGTGCCCCACTGCAAGATTCTTTCAAAACAGCCCAGCTCTCTCTCCCCTCTACGTGATGTATGAAAACACTCAACAGCTCCAGGACTCCGGATATACGGGCCCCCCCGACCAGGCACAGCTGTGGGGGTTTAGATGCCCCCTCCGCCCCCCAGGGCCTGCCCTTCTTTTTCTTCTTTTTCTTTTTCTTCTCTCCCCTTTTTTTCTCCCTTAGCCACGGCCCACTAATAATCCCTGTCTCCTAAAAGGACGTTCTGTCCTGGAAGTTAAGACGCCTGTTTACCAGCCCTCGGGGTGAGAACGGCCCAGTGCGACAGGCCAGGACGCTGGGACAGTGGGACGGGAACAGGGACAAAGAGAGCTGAGCACACTGGCCGAGGAATGTGCAGCCAGGTACAGAAGGTCACCTCCCCAGAGATGACATCCAGGCCTCCCCCTGTCCTTCAGCTCCAGGCCCAGAAAAGCAGCAAAACCAGGTGGGCGACGCCAGGCCCAGCTGCAATGACTAACAACCCCCTGCCCGGTCGCTGACCAATCAGAGAAGGCCGGGACCCTGAAAGGGCCCACCTGGGGAACTGAGGGCTGTTCTGCTGGGACCCTCCCCTGAGGCCTCCTCTAAGTGTCCCACCTACGAGAGATAGAAGCCTCAAGACCAAGGACCTAGAGTGTGCTCTCTCTGCCTTCCCCTCCCCCCTCTTTTTCTTCCCCCACAGGCAGCTTCTCCTAGACTGGAAGGGTCCCCAGGAGACTTGCCCCCAGGGGAGCGACGGGCAGCTTGTCCTGGGCTAACCCCCTGAGCCTGTCCCCCAGGGCCCCCTTTCTCCAGTCTCCCAGTGAGCTCAGGCAGCCCAGCCTGGGCTCACCTGGGGCTTCTTCTGTGCTCAAGCCCTTCCTGGTTTCCCTGCCCCAGCTTCAGTGAATGCACCCTCACAGTCGCCTGGACTCGTGTCGTGAAGTCTTTCCTACACAAAGTCAGGAACCCACACACGACAGCTGGCCCTGGGCGGGACCCGCTCAGGGCTAGGCCCCGGACATCCAGCAGTTGGCCGCCCCTCCAAAGCTGGCACCCTTGGCCTCTGAAACAGGCTTCTCCTCCCGCTACTCACACGACGACCAGAGCGGCGTCTCGGGAGTAATCCAGCAGGATCTCATTCAGCCTCACCTGCCGCAGGGACTGGGGCGAGGGGGGAAAAGCCACTCCGTCACTCCTCCTGTCCTCAGGAGCTGTCCTCACCAAGCCCAGGATGCATGCATTGTTCCCCTAGCTTATTATCCATTCCCCTGCCTCCGAGAAGGAAGGGGGGACCCTCCTAGTCATGAGGGGCTAAGCGCCCCTTCAGGGAAAGCCAGCCCTCCCGGGGTTTTCCTTGCCTGACCTATGACCAGCAGGACAGCGGGGGAGTGGGGGATGGAGAGAGCTCGTTACACAGTGTCGGGAGAGCAGATCATGCAGAATAGAGGGAACTGAGCAAGACACACGGACTCCCCGAGCTCCACTGGTGTGTGGAAGGTACATGATAAGGGGGACTGGAGCCAGGGCGGGGTAAGGGGGACAATCCTCCCTAACAGGGTAGGGAGCTCGGGGTACAGAAGCACAGGGTCCCGACCCAGGGGAGCGCCTGCCCGTCCCCCCCCCCGCCCCTCCCCCTGCAAGGCCCTTCTCCCTTCTGCACCTTGACCCTGTTCTTGTTAATCTCCTCGTCTGAGATCTTCCAGGGGCAGTCCCGCCTCAGCTCCGCGACGGTGGCCTCATCCTTGAAGCCATCGTTCAGGCGGAAGGGCGCAATCATGTCCTCAAAGCGCTTGGTGCTGCGGACCAAGAGAGCAGGTGAGACCAGGTCAGATGGGCTAGGTTCCGGGGAAACCAGGTCCCTGGAGGGCGCCCCAGGGACCTCCTTTCCGGGCTGAGCCCCATTCCGACACTGCCGCTGACGTCGAAGCAGCTTCCGTGTGGAGCTCGGCACTGATGGCACCTCCAGGAGTCGGCCCTGACGACCCATCTGGGACCCGCCTCCACCCCACCCCCCTGACCGGGCCCGGGAGTTTACTGGGCGCTGTTCTGTGCCGGGCTCGGTGCTGCACACAGTGACCACACCCGCCCGCGTGCCCTGTCCTCCCGGATCTCAGGCTCTGCTGGGCGGTAAGTGTGACCAGCAGTTTGACGGAGGCACAAACCGGGTGCCGGGATGGGACTCCCAGGGGCCCGGAGGGCCTCCGGACCCCAAGGGTGCCTGTCCTTCCAAAGCCAGCCATGCACAGGGCAGGTGCTGGAGCAAACAGGGCAGCAGGTGCCCAGGCCCTGAACAGAAGTGCGTGCTTGGTCTGCATGAGAAGCGGTGTGGTGAGCAGGGCGCATGCAGGGCAGGGTGGGGCGAGGCGAGGTCAGACAGGGGCAAGGGGCCAGGTCCGCAGGCCTTCGGTGTCTGCCCTGAGCGAGACAGTAACTGTGGCCGGGGAGGGGTTCCGTGGGATCTGACTTCTGTTATTAAAGATAGAAACGCAGACTGGCCGGCAGTCCGAGGCAGCCGTGGGCAGTCACCTGGATGGATGAGCTCACCTGGGGACAGAGAGAAGGGGAGGGGGAGGGGAAGAGAAGGGGGGGGAGGGGAGGGGAGGGAAGAAGAAAAGGAAGAGGAAGAGGAAGAGGAAGAGAAGAGGAAGAGAAGAGGAAGAGAAGAGGAAGAGGGAGGGTCCAGGGTGGAACCCCAAGGAGGCCAACAAGTGTCACTCAGCTCAAGAAGGAAGAGGTAGTGAAGGCAACTGAGCGCCTGCTGAGGTGGGAGGAACCAGGAGAGGGTGGCGTCTCGGAAGCCAGGAGAACTGCTCCCAGAAGGGTCCCTGTCACATACAGCCGGGAGAGAGGTGGGGGAGAGGAGCTCAGCGGGCCCCGAGGGCCTGGTGGTGGCGGGACGCTGGTGAGAGCGATTTCCATGCATCAGCGAGGTGGAGGGAGGTGGGGAAGGAGGGGTGGGAGGACCGGCACCAAGTCTCTGGGGGTGTTTGGCTGTATAAGGCTGGGGGGGGTGGGTGGCGGAGAAGCACTCCCGGAGGTGGGGGCAGAAGCTGGGGCAGAGCGAGAGGTTTGAAAGAGCAGATGCCGGGTGGGGCCTGCATGCTGGCTCTCGCTGGCCTCTGCACCGGGACCGTCTCCCCTGTCTCCCCGTGTTCACGGCCTTCTGCCAGGCTTTGCTCCTCCGCCAGCAGAGGGGACCCTACTCCCTTCTGCACCCGGTGCGTCTCTGCAGCGGATGCTGGTGGCTCTGGCGTCCTCCAGCCCGCCCTGAGCTGGGGTAAACCTCAGGGGGCAGGGCTGTGAATTGCTCATCGCAGCCCCTGCGGCCCCCAGCACAGCCCTGAGCAAACGGTGGGGGCAGCACACCCATCACCATTAAACAGTTCCTTGGGGTGGGACACAGAGGGGAGAGGGAAGGGCTACAAGGGCAGGGTGGCCCTCACTTTGTTGAGGAGATCAAGTCCTCCAAAACCTCAAGCAGACCGATTTACACAAAACAAATCCTATTGTGAAAAATCTTATTTTAAGACTATGAAACTGGGTGCTTAGGAAGGCATTTCCACCATCCCTTCTGACTCCACAGTTGAGCCTCCCTGAGGTTCACACTGGGGTCTGCTCACAGTCTGAGCACTTGGCCTTGCGTGGAGGGAGGAGGGCAGTTCTTGCCCGCGTTATTCAACGTCTCCCCCACTCCCTCCACCGAAGTGCTAATACAACAGGGGCTGCAGCCACTGCCTGCCGCTGCCTCAGGGCCTTCGCACATCCTTTCTTCCAGTGGGGCAGGGCCTGGCCTCTGCTGCGGCCCCTGCAGGAGGAGCTGCCCTCCAGCCACGCATCTTGGAGCACGTGGCTCTGCCACCCCTGGCCAGGGCCAACTGGACCAAAAGTGGCCAAGGAGTAGGATTTCCAGTAACCTCCACCTTGGCCTGGCAGGAAGGGATGAGCTGGGCCAGTCATATTCCTTTTTGAGGAACTTAAACTAGGCAATGCCTGGAGAAGGGGGCAGTTTGGTTGCACAGAAAGGTCAAGTGCAAGGCTCCGGAGCCACACGAGGAGGCCAAAGCCACACATCCAGCATGTACTGAGCGCTGGCTGTGGGCTGGGCGGCGTGGTGAGTACATTACAGAGTGTCACTAAGACAGCGGTCCTCCCAGCGGGGTGCCTGGGCCAGCACGGCGAGCCTGTCGGAAACACAGGTTCTCAGGCTCTGCCCCAGACCTACCAACTCAGATCCTTGGGGGTGGGTCCCGGCAGGCAAGCTCGGTTCGAGCAAGCCCTGCAGGTGACTCGGGTGCGTGCCCGAGTTCGGGAACCACTGCTTTGTGAAAACACTCCGGGGTTGGAGGAAATTCCGAAGCCCAGACCCTGTGGAAGGGAAAAGCAGCCTTTTGTGAACAGCCAGAGCCCTGGGCTTGTGAAGTGTGCAGCCGGAGACACCTCGGTCCCTGTGGACAGAGCCCTGGCCTCTCTGCTCAGGTGGCGGAACAGCCATGAGCTGCCACCTGCAAGTGCTTAAAGGACACTCGTTTGAAGAAAAGCACCAATGTCAACTTCCATCGGCCTCCAGCCCAGGTGTGCTCCTGGCCCAGACCAGAGCTCTGATGTACAAAGGACAGGACCCAAACACGAAAATAAATAAATGGCTGCAGACTCTGACCCTTCTGCTTTGGTTCCGTGAGCCCCGCTGGGCGAGGGCGGGAGGGGCAGCCCCTCTGCCCCTGGCTCACCAGGGAGAAGGGGGCGGTGGGCAGAGGGGTGCGCGGGGCACAGGCTGGCCCTTCGGCCTGGAGCCCCCCCGCAGACCACTCACTGCTCAGCCCGCGGCTTCTGGTTGATGTCGGGAAGGACGTGCACTTCGTGGAATCCCAGGCGGAACTTGCTCAGCAGGGACACGATCCTGGAAGGTGGAGACAGTTTTCAACGCATCTGTTCATTCCACGAATTTTCATCGCTTGCCCTGGCCAGGGGCCGTTGCCGGCCAAGCCCCGGGCCAGGCCCACCCTCTTGGACTTGGGTGGGAGATTAGCACGGATTCTGAGCTGAGAGCCCTTCTGCAGGGTCAGCCACGAAGTGAGCTGTCACTTATTCGGGGGGGTTTGCTGCCGCCTCTCCAGGCTGCTGAAGTCACCTCTTGCCTCATCAGGGACGGCAACCCGCACTTGGGTGGGGGTGGGGGTCGGGGGGACAATTGCCCTGCAGGGTTCTAAGCGATGCCTCATTTCTCAGGAGGCAGGGGCTTCTCCATCCTTCAGGTCACACAGGTTTCTCTTCGAGCAGATGTGTGAGTTTAAAACCTAACACCCTCCCTCCCTGTCCTGGCAAGACTGGGGCACCTGCATCTTATCAACGGAGACAGGACACCCCAAACCCTTCTGAGATGGACAGCAACCTGCTCCCGCCCAGCGCCCCCTCGCTGCTGCTGTGACTCGGTCTCGCTGAGACACCCGGGGACAGGGGCCGGGGGGGGGGCGAGGGGCGCTGAGGCGGCCCTGGTCCCCACCGGTGCTCCCCACTTACGCCTTCCTCTCCTGGTCCATCCTGTTGATCTGGCCGCCCACAAACACCCGGATCCTGCATTTGCTCCATCGCTTCTTGCGGCCAAGCAGGTAGGGGATGAGGAGGGTGAGGCCTGGTCCCCGGGAATCAAGAGGAAAATGCTCTCAGGGTGGAGCATGCTCTGGGGTCTCGCCCCTTCCCCTCGCTGGGCCTCAGCTTACCCGTCTGTATAACGGGCATGCCATGCCGGCTAAGCCAGAGAGGCACACAGCGCTCTGAGGGCCTGGGTTTATTTGGCTTGCACCGTGTTTTCACATAAGCGAGCGGGCATTTAATAATGGGGGGTTCCCATGCAAATCAGGATCTCTGGCATTTCTGGACAATTGAAAACTGGACCAGTGGGTGGGAGCCCCCTCACCCCTCCCTAACATCTCCCCACACAAGGCCAAGGACGAGCTATCACTATGGGTACAGAACCTTGGACAAATTATTTCACCGTTCTGTGCCTCAGTCTCCTTACTTGTAAAGGGGGCTAATACTAGCTCCTACCTGGGAACTGTGGTAGGGGAACCCACATAAAACACTTAGTGTCAGGAATATAGTAAGTGCTCGGTCCTATTAGCCATCACTCATAGGACACCTTCTCTCGGAGCAGAAACCCTTTCTAGCCAGGACTTGATCAAAGGTCGGCACAGTAAAGCTGGGAGTCATGTGTTTTAAGAAGAGCGGGAGAGACTGCACTTCTCTGGGAAGTAAAGGGGGCTCCTAAGGGTTCCTGTGCGCCAGCCCGTCCTCCCCATCAATGTTCCACGCTGCGGCCCCTCGAGCCTGAAGGTTCCGCCTCACGCTGACATCAGCTCCTGCCCGTAAGTCTTCATTTACAGCCGAAAAACTGGAGGCCAAGAGAGGGCCCAGCCAGGCTCCCCCCAAGCCCAGTGGTGTGGGCCAGTGACCCCTGCCCCCTGCAAGGGGCTCTGAGGTCCCACCACAGGCCTTGCTAAGAGCGGCAGGAAGGGCCAGCCGAGAGCCACGGAGGGCAGGCGGCGGGGCCGGGGCAGGCGTCGAGGGTGCTGACCTCCGTCGTCGAAGAGCCAGTAGATGTCGATGGTCTTCTTGCCCTGCTCCGACTGGAAGATGGTACTGGCCTGCTCCTCCCGCACCAGGGCCTCGGGGTCCACTGCGGGGGCAGAGGGGCTGGTCACCGAGGAGCAGAGCACGTTCAAGTGCCCAGTCTGCCTGCAGATGGCCAGCTGCCCGGGCAGCGGCACTGGCGGTCAGCAAGGATGTGCACCCTGCTGAGGACCTGCGGGGGTGGGGGTGGGGGGTGGGGGCGCGGCCCAGAGCACCGCCAGGGGCCCCTCTGAAGCTAAGACTCCGGTTTTCCCCTCAGAGATGCCCAGAGGGTGCCCCCAGCTCCAGCATGGGTCGGGGGAAAGGCTGAAGGAGAACCCTGCCCCTCCCCTAACATTTGAGCCTGGCCAGAGAGCGGCGGGGGGGGGGACGGGACGGTGGCGGGACACAGGGGTGGGTTCCTGCAACGCCCAGATATCGAATTCCCGGTCTTTAATACTGCCCCAGCCGCCACCGCCCCACCCCCACAGCCCCAACCCCAGAGGCCTCAGGCACCTCCTGCCCTTGACCAAGATCCCCCGTGTGGCCCCCACCAGCTGCCACGCAGGGTGAGCGTGTCCTGAGCCTCTGAGGTGGGTGGGGACTCACGTGTGCCAGAGACCGATGGCCGGGCCCTGCTGGCGTCCTTGCCGTCCTCCGCGGGGTCAAACATGGGGTTAACTGCAAGAGAGGGACCGCAGCTGTACCCCCAGCCCATCCTCCACCGGGCACGTCTGGCTCTGCCTCTTCCGGGCCCCTCCTACCACAAGGAAGAAATCCCGACGTGGCGCCTTCCACGGACCTGGCTCGGCCTCCTGCTGACCCGACTCTTCCCGGTCCAGCCCCACGCAGTGTCCTCCTGCCCCTCAGACAGGCCTCCCTCCTTCCCTGCTGCCCGCGGTGGTGGGTGGGCCGGGCACCGGGACAGTCAGCTTTCCCCAGGGCCCCCTGCTCAGGGAGGGCTTCTCGACCCACACCCTGTGTCGGTGGCACCGTCCGAAGTGACCCGTGGGCCCACCGCGTTTCCCGGGAGGACGGCAGCTCCCCCGGGGCAGACTCGGGTTTGCTCCCCCCGCACCCCCAGCGCCCAGTGTTCAGGAGCTGCTGCTGCTGCTCTGTAAGGACTGTTTGCGGGAATGCTCACTCCACCGCGCCGCGCCAGGGGGGCCCTGGGTCTCGGGACAAGACCCGGCCCTGCCTGCGACAGACAGCGTCCGCCATTCCAGTCTCCCAGCAAGCCCTCCAGGGGTTTTCCTGCGTGTGGTTCGTTTCCCATGCATCCGGGGGCGCATCCTCACGTGGGACTTTAAATGGGGCCCATCCCCGCTCTGTGCCCCGGTGAAGGTCTCGGAGGGTCTCCGGGGCCCTTGTGTGCGTGCTTCATGTTCCGATGTGCTCAGGTGGGCGTTCTCCTCTCCCGCCTTTCCTTCCTTCCCTCCTGTTGGGTCCTCCTCAGCCCATCTGGTTACGAAAAGCCCTGACCGTGACTCCAGGAGCTCTGAGCTCCGGTCTGCCCCCAGCTGGATGCACGACCTTGAACGGGTTACTCCCCCTTTCTGGGCCTCAGTTTCCCCGTTTGGAAACCTGATGTGCTCACATGGGCCACTGAAAGCTGACATTCTAAGGGTCTGCGATCTTTATTCCTTACTCATTTTACCACTTTAAAAAAATGGGTTCTAGAACCTTCTGGGAGGCTAACCCCAGTTTCGGACGGGGTGCCAAGCAGGTGGGGTGCGCACTCACTGTGTGCCTGCATCACCTCCGAGACGTTGAGCCCCTCACGCATCCTCATGACGCACACGCCATAGTTGAAATCAAAGGCGTCGCTGGAAAGAGAGAAGGGGGGTCGGCCCCTTAGCCCCAGGGCCCGGCCCCCAGGAGACCCGGTGTCTAGAGCTGGCCCTGCCTCCCACCACCTGCTCTCTCCTCGCTGGGCCTCAGTCTCCCCATCTGTGAAATGTGCAGGCGAAACTGGAGAGTCCCCAGGACCCTCTGGCTCTGTGGATCCTGCGGACCCTGCACTCAGGGGGAAACTGAGTCAGACCTGTCTCCGAGCCAGGCCCCGTCCCCCTGATACATTTGAATAACCCTCACAGTTCTGCCAACAGAGGTGGGGCTGGGAACTCTTACCCCCCTTCCACACACACAAAAGCTGAGCTCTGGGGAGCAACCTGCCCTTGGTCACACACCGCCGAGTGGCCACTGGGGTGAGAATTCAACAGCTGGGACTGGGGTCCCTGCCCGAGGGCACAAGTTTTCACCTGAACACCCGCATGTTCGGCTTCTCTGTAAAACTGGAAGGTCTGGTGACCCTGGGTCCGAGTTTCCTCGCGGGCACAGCTGGCTGGGCCAAGTGGCTCTCCCCAGTTTGCCGCAGGCCTCACTACCCCCTGTAGTCCCACACCTGGGCCACTTGCCTCTCTGTGCTACCTGCCGGGTCCCCTTGTCAGCTTTCAACCAGCGACTCAGCGTCACAGGTCACAACCGCTTCCCTGCCACTTCCCACGGCCCAGGAACCCCAAGGCCCAGGAGGACAGACCCCAGGCCCTGCCCACCCACAGGCCCTGCCCCCCACAGGCCCTGCCTCCCCCACCCCCCGAGGGCCCTGGCTCACTGCAGGATGCCGATGTAGTCCTCCACCGTGGCCGGGTGGGCCGACTGCCAGTTCCTCTTGAAGCCGACCACCAGAATGTTGGGCTTCATCCGCCCGAGACCTGCGGCCTGTGGGGGCAAGGGCGGGGAGGTGGGGGTGAGGTGAGGACTCAGGCCTCACGCCCCCGGTTCTGGGGCCAGGGTGGGGTTCTCTCTCAGCCCCGGCTGCCCTCTCCACCCTGCGGCGCCCACCCAGGAACCACATCCCCGTGTCCAGGGTCCTGCCTGCCTGGACTCACTCGCGGGAAAGGCACAGCTGCAGCCAAAGCCACCCCCGTGACCTGTCCCAGCCCGGGCCCACGACTGGACCGCACATTTGTTCTGGATTGCCCCAGCTCCCGCTTCTCTCTCTCGAATCATTTCTCATAATAAGGGGCTTGAACTTGGATGTCAAGCTTGGAGGCTTCCCAGGGCACCTAATCCATACATCTTTGATAATTCTTTCTTTTTTTAATGTTTAAAATGCTATTTCATATTTTGAGGTGACATTTCCATAACAAAATTCACCATCCTAAAGTGTGTAACTCAGAGGCATTCAGCCCAGCCACAGTGCCGTGCAAACACCACCTCTCTCCGACATATTTGTGTGACCCCCAACATATTTGGGTGACCCCCAAAGGAGACCCTGTGTATGCTCTTTCTTTAATTTTGAGAAGTATTTAAAACTCTTCAAAGGGGACTCTCAGATGTGGACTCGGAATTCACAGCTGCTCTGTCACCCACATGTCCCATCTCACAGACGAGAGAACGGAGCAGTAACATGAACTGCCCTGTGGAACCTTCTAGAACTCGGTCTGAGTGGTGGTTCCGTATCACGGGGCAGTGTCTGCGCATGTAAACATTTACCGAACTGTACGCTGAACACTTTCTCACTTTGCTGTTGGTTAATTATATCTCAAAAAACAAAAAAACCGACAAGGTGAGCGCAAGGCCACACAGCCTGCCCAGGCTTCTCGGTCGGTTTTCCCGAGTCAGCGCTCTCCGGGGAGGGCCCCGGGGCTGCATTATCTGAAGAGGCCAGAAAGGTGGGGCTTCTGTTGCAGCAAAAGGGACTTTGACCAGCCCCTCCAGAGGCCCTGCCTGTCAGGTGGTCGCTCTAGGTAAGAAGCCCTGCGGGGGAGGAGCCCCAACCCCGTGCACCTGCATGAGAATCTGGACCCCGCCGCGGAGGTCCTCGGCGATGACATCCGAGTAGAAGGCCTTGATCTTCCTCTTGTTCAGCCACTTGGTGTGCCCGTTGGCGATGGCCCGGAGCTCCGGCATCCTCTGTTTGCGGGGTCCCTGTGGGTGGGTGGGGGGGTGGGCGACATCAGGGGCTGCTTTCGCCCTCTGGCCTGACACTCAGCCTGGCCCCTGTGTGGAGGCTGCCCCTGGGCTCCGCAGTGCCGGGTTTCCGGACAAGGGAGGGAAAGAAGGGGGATAGGGGCAGGCGTGCGGCCCCGCCCCACCTCCAGGGGGCACTCACGATGAGCACATGGCCGCAGATCATCAGGCTGAGGTTCCGAGTGAAGGTGCCCACGAAGTCCACCAGGGCCGGGCGGAAGTTGGGGGGCCCCGTGAGCACTAGGCACTGGGGGCTGAGGAGGGGAAGGGCGAAGGGCATGAGGGACAGAGCCCGTGGGGATCTGGAGACCAATGCAGGCACCCAGGATGTCTGTCTTGTCCTGGGTCTCCTCCCTTCTTAGAGCCACTGCGTGGCCTCCAGCAGGACTCCCTCCACGATGGGCCTCCTCTTCCCACCTGGGACCTAAGAGTGAACCTCAGGGCCCTTCCAGACCTCACAGTGGCCAGCACACTGGGTCTCCTTTGTCCTCCTGCTGAGGCCACCAAGTGTCCCACTTGGACAAACCACCCTTTTCACGACACCTGGTGCTCCTGCCCAGCCCAGCATGGTGGTGGGCAGAATAAAGTCAGGGCGTGAGGATGCCTGTACCCTATGAGCTCACTGGGTCACCTGGGTCGGTGACTCAGCCTCTGGGCCACGGTCAAGGGCCACCAGCAGACTCAGAGCCAGACAAAACTGGCCACTCAGCTGTGTGACCTGGGGCCAGCTACTTAACCACTCTGTGCCTTGGCATTCCCCTCTGTGAACGGTCGAGGCATTTCACATGCCTCAGAGCCGTGCTGAGACTGGGTGAGGTGCTTTGCGCGGCGATGCCACGTAAACAGAACCAATTATTAGCGTTGCGACCTGGCGGGAAGGGGGCCCTGGGCACACGGCCCTCCCCACTGAGGAGGGGAGTCAGCTAGAAGAGCACCTGGGGGAGTCCCTTCACGGCCCGCTTCCCGGGTCCTTGTGATGGAAATGACAATGCCAGGGCACCCTGGCGGAGCCCTTGGCACGGCCAGGGGCACATTCTGCTGCAGAAACGGAGGCACAGAGCGGTCACCCCACTTGCTCAGTCCCCTCAGTTGGGGACCCCAACCCCAGCCCCCTGTCTGCCATGTGGCTCTCCCCCACCTCTGCTCCCTCTCCAGTGACTGCCCTGGGTCTGCCCACATCAGGGGACCCCAGCCCCCTGGGTGCCGCATGGCTCTCCCCCACCTCTGCTCCCTCCCCGGCGGGGGCTGTGCCCGCCCTGGGTCTGCCCGCATCAGAGGACAGACGGGCCTGGCCAGGAGCCTCCCAGAGCAGGGCCATGGTGGCACCGGGCCCCGGGGGGCCTGGAGGCCGTGCTCACCGGTAGTTCTTGATGTGCTCCTCCACCTCGTTGAGGCCCACAGAGTAGCTGAGGGCCAGGTTGTAGGAGCCGGCCTGCACAGAGGAGCCCCAGTTCACCTCTGGGGGTGGGGGAGAGCGTGAGGTTAGGAACCACGGGGAGAAACCAGGCATGTGGAGGGAGGGAACGTCAGCATTCTGGAGGAACAGGGCACCCATGGGAGCAGGGCTGCTTGGCCGGGGGACAGCCTACACATGACATATGGCTGCGTATTATTTAAAAGTTATACATTAGTCCTGGCTGGTGTGGCTCTGTGGATTCAGCACAGGACTGCGAACCAAAGGGTCGCCAGTTCAATTCCCAGTCAGGGCACATGCCTGGGTTGCAGGCCAGGTCCCCAGTAGGGGGCACATGAGAGACAACCACACACTGATGTTTCTCTCCCTCTCTTTCTCCTTCCCTTCCTCTCTTTCTAAAAATAAATTAAAATCTTTTCTAAAAAGTTACACATTTTTTAGGGGTGGGTAGGGCAGGGGAGAGTAATGGGGGGAAATGGGGAAAACTGTAATTGACAACAATAAAAAAATCAAAGATAAATAAAAGCTATACATGAAGGTGTTCGACTCTACAGAACAGTCTCTTCCCTCGAGGAGCAGACCTGCACAGCGACCTGGAGGGCCGGTCCCTGTGTGGAGCCCCAGGCTTCCCCGAGCTCTGCATCCCGGCCCCAGATTGCTGTCACCCCAGCACCCTTGCCTGCGTGCATGCAGACACCCCTGCCCATGTGTCACACTTTGTCCCCTGCCCGACCATCCGCCAGCCCTTGGCCACCCCTCAGGCCCAGGTGTGTTCACTGGGGGCCGGCTCCTCTCTCAGGAGCTGGAGGACCTACGTGGACAGTTCCAGGGGCCCAGGTGCTGGGGGAGGGTCCAGTAGTAGAGGGGTGGGCTCTCAGTGGGCCCATGCCCGTGGGCTCCTCCCACCATGGGGGACCCAGAGCCCATTGCAGGCCCTGATGGTGGGCGGCGGGGCGGGGTGGGGGCGGAAGGGGAGGACGGCCCACTGGCGACCCCAAGACGACCCTGAGGCGGCCTGCCACCGCACACCTGGCTTCTTATAGATGACGTAGAGCAGGAGGAAGAGGACAACGCCGATGGCGATGAGGGCCGCCCACCAGGTCAGCAGGAACATGATGACCACAGAGATGACCGCCCCAAACAGCGCGGCCCACTTGCTGTAGTAGCGGAACGAGGGCCTCCACCCTGGGTGGGGGGACACGGGTCGGCAGGCGCGCTCAGCACCCGGGAGCTTCCTCCCGGGCCAGCGCCGCCAGGCAGGGCTGGGCAGGGCCGGGCGGGGCCGGGGTGCTGACCGTGCCCACAGCCAGGGTCCCAGCCTGCACCCACCCACCCACCCTCCCTCCCTCCTGGAGGCTCTGGGAGGCTCCGTCTTGGCTGGCATTCTGCCATGTCAACGGGCTGCAAGGAGGAGGCATCATCCAGCTCTGGCCAAATGCGGCTGCAAGACGGCCAGCGTCAGCAATAGCACGGCCCGAGGCTGGTGTGGAGCCACGTGAGGTGGTGGGGAAGGACAGGACTCTGCCCGGCCCCACACGGGAGGCCACGCCAGGGCCACCACACGTGACTCCACGGCACCACTCTGGGGCACCATGGTCCGTTGTCTACGGAACAGGCAGCCCGGCGACTGGCCCATCAGCGATTTGGGGCTAACTAGAGTCTTCCTCAAGACCCTTTACTGCCCCCTGCCAGAAAGTTCTCGCAATATACATGCAGATCTGTGACATCTGTCAGTGGCGCCCCCAGAGTTGTGTCTTGTTCAACCTGCAGCCCCCTTGTCTGTGGCTTTGGGCCATTCTCTGCCGTCTCTAGGGACTCAGACGACCGACCCCGGTACAGCGGGTAGGGGAGGCACTAGGAAAATCTCTGTGCACTGGAAGGAGGACGTGAGTCCATGGGCAGAGTGCCTGGTAAGCCCTTGACGAGGGGTCGCCACTGTTATTACTACTTAAACAGGGACTTTCACCGGTTCGAGGGCGAGGGCTGCCTACCGGGTGAGTTGGTGGTGGAGGCGTGGAAGCAGCTGAAGTTGATGAGGGCGTAGGAGCACAGGAAGAAGTTGGAGATGATAGGGGCGATGGTGTTGAGCTCCGCTTCGGGGACCCGGGGAGAAAGAGCACAGTCTGTCGGGTGAGGCTGCCAGGGGGCCACCTGGCGCCCCCCCTCAAAGGGTGGGGGGCCCCAGACAGGCCTCTGAGGCTCAGCGAGTCTCAGCCTCCTCATCTGTGAAATGGGCCTATCGTTTCGTGCCGCTCTAAGGGCCGATGTTTTGTAAACTGCAAGCGGCCAGCTTTTAAGGAGATAGAGAACCATGGGAGGGTAGACACCATCAGGTGAGGAGGGGTGGACAAGGACAGAGGCTGCCACAGATTCTGCGTGGCCGCAAATTAGAGTAAGAAATAAGTTCACCACATGACCCAGGACACAGGTCCCCTTTGATGTGAAACCCTGAGACCCCATCACTGCTCCTCCACAGCAGAAGCCTGCTCACGAACCGGCCCCTCCTCTCCCCTCCCCCGCCCCACGGGCCCCTGCGTCTGTGGGCAGACTTCAGCACATGAATCCCTGTCTCGGGGCCTGCTTCGGGGGGGCCCCAAAACAAGACACGCATCTCCTGTCTGTATCTCATTCCACTGCGTGGACACAAGAACCCTGTCCCCGAGCTTCTAAGACCATGTCCTCGGTCTGAGGTCCCGTCGGAACCCCCAGAGGAAACGACGTCACATCCAAGTCAGGGTGGACTGCAGGGTGAGCGGTGAGGGGTCGGGAACCCTGGGCCTGACTGGACGCCCCCCTCCCGTGGGTGTGGCCCTGTGGCCTCCTGACCCGGCTCAGGGCCCAGGAGTGGTCTGTCTGGAATGGTTCCCCAGAATGGCAGCGACTAGACCGTGAGGGTGTGTCTCATGAGTGGGGGCTGCCGGCCTGGGAAGCAGGGACTCGGCTGTGGCAGGACCCCGGGCGCACCAGCCACCGAGCCTGCCCTACTCCTGCAGAGCAAGCAGTGGCCGGGGCGTCCTCAGGCCATGGCCTTGCTGTCAGCTGTCCCTCTTTCCTACCAAGTCCTGCCTCGTTGGCTAAGTGACCAGGATGTATCAGGGAGTATGCACACGTGAAAGCATGCATATATGACCTCATGTGTTCACACATGTGTTCACGTGTGTGTGTGTGTACTATGGGCTCTTCCTGCCCATCTGAGCACGCCTGCTCTGCACTATCGCTCCTGTTTTGCAGATGAGGGAACTGAGGCTCAGGGAGGCGAAGAGAGTTGTCCGAGGGCACAGAGCCGGCACACGGCAAGGCCGGAGTTGACGGTCCACCTAACTGACGAACTGGGATCTTCCTCCTGGGCCACCCCCCACCTGGACCCCAAGGGACCTGGCAGCTCAGGGGGTGGGAGATGAGGCTCGTCCAGTGAGCGAATGCGCCTACAGAGACCCCGCCGTTTGCAGCAGCAGCTCCCAAGGGGGAACCCGTCAGCGTGTCCTGGGCCCCACAAGTGTCCCAGGGGCTCATTCAGGCCTGAGGGGGGGGGGTGAGGAGGGGTTCCCGCTGCCAGGACACAGGAATGCAGAACGAGAGGAGGCAGAGAGGGTCCCCCCTAACAAAATAGGGTGGTGCGCCTGCCTGGCATGGCGGGGGAGGTGGGGGAGGGGCCCCATGACCTCCCAAAGTCCCCTTCCAGGGCAGAGCCCCCCCTGCCTGAGTCAGTCACCGACTGCCCACCGCCTGCCAGGCCTGGCTGGGAGCCAGGCACACAGGTGAGCGGCAGGGAAAGGAGCCCCGCCCCTGCGGCCCCCATGGCCCCCTCCACTGGCCAGAGAGGCCAGGCCCTGCGCAGCCTCTCACCGATGATGATGAAGGCCACTGCGATGGCGTAGGCCAGCAGGTAGCCGCGCACCGGCTCCTTGTTCTTGCCGTAGCCCTTGCCGAAGAAGCCGATCAGAGGGTACAGCTGGTCCTCACACAGGCACTGTGGGACCAGACGTGAGGCTCGGGCCCTGGCCGTCCCTCCTCTGCCCTCCCTCATGGACCCCGGCCCCTGCTTGCTCCCCCTCTGACATCAGCAGGGCACGGCCCCAGCTGGGCCCCAGCTCCTGTCTCTGCAGAATGGCAGCGACCTCCCCACCCTCCCCACCTCACCAGGAGAACCGCGAAAGGGCACCCCACGGGGAGGCGGCCGCGTCCTGCAGGAGTTCGCTCTCTGGCCCCTTTGTCCTCAAGTCTGGATGCCCCTGTCCCATGACACCTCCAGGCCTCTGTGGCAGTCACTGAAGGACCCCTGTACCGGGGCCTCCTAGATACCGACCGGCCCCCCCCTTCTGCACGCAACCTCACCTGGAAGACTTTGGCAGCAGAGACGAGGCAGGCCAGGGCAGAGGAGAGGGTGGCCCCGAAGATGCCAGCCGTGATCAGGGGTGCGAAGCCCGACACCATGCTCATGGTCTGCAGGGACACGGGGCTCAGGGCTGGCACGGCGGAGTGTGGGCCCGGAGCCCCCTCCTTGCCCCCCCCAACCCCTTCTGCGGGCAAGGGCTGGGTTCTGACACCTCCGTCCGAGTCTGCACCATCACCCGGGGGTGCCAGCGCCCGCCGAGGCCAGGACGGGCCTGGGGCCCCCACTGGAGCCCAAACCACGTCCATCCTCCTCCTGCCCCCTCCCCGCGTCCGGTGCGGAGGCCGCGGTACCTGGTAGTAGTTGATGAGGCCGTAGTGGCAGCTGCGCTGCTGGGAGCACTCGGTGAAGTTCCAGCCGTAGCCACAGGCCAGCCCCTCGCAGGCGCCCAGGCCGGGGGTCAGGGTGTTGTTCAGGTCCCCGGAGGCGTCTCGAACCACGCAAGAGCCTGGTGAGGAAGGAGGATGGGGGTGGGGAGGGCTGTTTCCCCGTCCTCCCCTCCTCCGTCCCACCCCCAGGGGCCATGTCCGCAGGGGCAGATGCTGCCGAGGGCAGCCCTGCCTTTCCGGTGTAATACTAACGGTGCCAAGGAAGGCGGTGGTGGGACCCCCATGCAGGAGCCCTCACGCCGTACCAGGCACTGTGCCGGGCACTGCACGCCCCCCCGGGAGGCAGGCACGGCCACCACTCCTGTGGTGTGGCTACACAGGCACAGCGAGCTCACGCGACCTATCTGAGGCCTCGATGTCCTCCTCCGGGCGGAGACCTGGGTCCCAGACCCTGCCTGGCTGTGACCCAGGCCCCGTCCCTTGGCCGTCTGCGACTCGCTTACCTCACAAGGAGCAAGAGCCCCTGTGAGGACCTTGGGGAGAGGTGGATGTCAGCGGTGCAGGCCTGGAGTCAAAGCCCAGCTCCCCCGCTCAGTGGCTGTGTGACCTTGGGCAGGTCCCTGAACCTCTCTGAGCCCTTATTTTCTCCCCCGTGAAACCATGGAGATGACAGTGCCCGGATTACATGTGGTAACGCAAGCAAAGGGCTGGGCAGTCAGCCGCTAGTGTCATCTCCATCATCATCACCATCATCATCACCATCACCATCATCATCATCGATAGGATGATTTCTGTAGGCTTCTCGCACCCTTGAATCTGTAGTGTCACACGTCATATCTGAAGGGACTGAAGAGCCTGGTCTGCCCCCCTCCCCACGGCCTGGTCACCACCAGGCCACCTTCCACATAAGGTCCAAGGCTCTTCTTCCTGGGGTTGCGAAGTCCTCCCAGCCCAGCTCACCCTGTTAGAGAGCCAAACCTGCCCCCCCCCAACCCCACAACCCCCCAGCGTGTGGGCCAGCTACCTACCGATGGTGGCCGAGATGGCCAGGTAGGAGATGGTGGTCCAGAAGATGGCCATGAGTGTCCCCTTCGGGATGGCTACAGCAGGGTCCTGGGGGAGGAGGGGAAGGGGGAGGGGGCATCAGGAGGCAGGGGAGGCCCTGCCCTTATCTGAGGCTGGGGGCGGGGCACAGAGAAAAAGGAACTTTGCAGCTGGGGACTCGCAGAGGAGGGCAGGTGGCAGCCAAGGTCACAGGGCTGAGACCACACTCAGGGCCTCGGAGCCCAAAGCAGGGAGGCAGACTCTGACCAGCCCCACGCCTGGGCCGTTCCACAGGCTGCTGGGGCCGCAGGACACGGGCACGATGCCGGTGCTCCCACAGAGTCCCTGGGACGCTGAGATTGTTGTGGTCAAGTGGGGAAGTGGGGGCTCTGTCTTCCGGAAACCTGCGTCCTCTGCCCCCCGAGTGTGTGGCTCTGGCCGGCCCCGGCCCTTGCTGAGCCTGGCCGGCTCCTCCATGGCCCGGGGGTGAGGCCAGCCCGAGCCCTTCCGGCAGCCGGGGGTAAGGTTCACGGAGGAGGAGGCAGCACGCACAGCACACGTGGTACGAATGACAATGACCTTGAAGCTGCTGGTCCTTAGCACTTCCCCTGTGCTGGGCACTGCTCTCCTTTACGCAAGTCAACGCACTGCATTCTCACTTCCTGTCCTGCGACGCGGGGGCCGGGCTGGCCCCATTTCACAGAGGGGGAAGCTGAGGCCCAGGGAGGTTTTAAGGAACTTGCATAAAGTGTCCGTGACGGGAGGAGCTGCCCTTCTGAGGAGGACACACTGTCCCATGGGATGGTCGGAGGGCTGGATCCAGAAGGCAGGGGCCCCGTCAGGGCTCAAGGGCGTTTAGGACACAGCAGAGGTGCCCCTGCCACCCAGTTCCGAGGGCACGGCCCAGCCAAGAGTCCAGCACACGGGGCCCATTGTTACCTAAGAAGCTGGATGGAGCGTCTAGATAACTCCCCAGGCTGCGCAGAAGAACTGGGAGGGGAACCCGGCTGAGGCAGGCGGGCCAGGCGGCTGCGGGCCGGCGGGTCCCCAACGCACAGCTACACACGCATTGAAGGAAATGCGTCAGGAGCACCATTGTTGCGGGCCTGGAGACGAGCAGCCCCCAGCGCCCAGCCAGGCCACTCAGCTCACACACCATCTCCTTTGACCCGCCTGCCAGCGGACACTCCATTCGCAGCCCGGCTGCAGCCCTGCCTCCCGGAGGTTCTGCTGCGGCCCCTGCGTGTGCCTGGTCTCTCCTTCGGCCCCACGTCACGGCCCCCTGTGCGTCTGCCCCACACGGCTCCTCTGCCACGCCTCACCGCTCTTCTCTCCACAGACACGTGCTGAGCACCTTGCCCGTGTCGGATTCATAGCAGGACGCAGAGACCCAGAGGGAGGCCCCGGGTCCCCAGTGACATAAATGGCCTGACGTCACTATGCCGGGCACCGAGACACCGATGGAGCGCCGGGAGGGATGTGAGGGGGGAGGTGTTATTTGAAAGAGGAGCAGAACTTTGCGAGGTATAGAAACCAGGCAGGGAGTCCCAGGGAGCAGAGGCGACACCAGGAGGCTTGGGTTGGGTTGAGCGGGATTGGACTGGATTTCAGAGGCTCTGGCCTCCCGGGGTCAGGGCCAAGTTCAGCGCCAGTGGGAGATCCTGGTAAGCAGGACCTGGAGGACGGGGGCCTGGGCGTGCGGCTCACCCTGAGGTCCCCGGAGATGTTGGCGCCCGCCAGGATGCCGGTGGCCGAGGGGAAGAAGATGGAGAACATCCCGAAGAAGCTTCCGTCGGGGCCCCGCCAGTCAGGCACCAGGTTCTGGACAAAAATGTCCCCTGGGAGACCGAGGCCTGAGTCAGGGCCACCTGCAGGACTCTGCCTGCTCCCTGGGCCCCGCCAGGCAGGCAGGGGCCTCCAGCGGCAGCTCCTGTCCTCCCGGTGCCCTGTCCTCCCGGTGCCCACAGAACAGGCCAGATGGGTGGGCAGGTGGTGCCTCTCCCCACGGGCAGGGCCCCAACCTGCACCTACCCCGGTAGCTGAAGAAGCCTTTGGAGGCCTTGTCGTCAGACGGGGGGATCAGGGTCCCCACCAAATAGTTGGCGAAAGAGACCATGATGACCAGGAAGAAGAGCACCTGGGCCTGGGGACAAAGGACTTAGAGGTCAGGTGGCCTGGCCCCACCTCTTCAGGGCACCCCAGCAGGAAGAACCTGCCGCAGGTGCCTCACTCTCCTGTTCATTCATTCACTCATCCATCCATCCCTTCATCCATCCATCCATCAATCCACCCATCCATCTACCCATCCATCCTTCCCTCCATCCATCCCTTCATCCCTCCATCCAACCATCCATCCATCCCTTCATCCCTCCATCCATCCATCCATCCCCCCCTCACTCATCACCCATCCCGCTGCCAGCTCTCCTCCAGGAGCTGACGCCCCCACGGGGCTCCTGCCTTGCGGGTGGACAGGGAACATGAATGTCGTGTAAGAACAGGGCTGTGAAGGGGACGGGGTTGGGGGCTACTTTCGCAGAGTGGTCTGCAAATGTGTCTCGGGGGTCCTGAAGGAGGACGAGTGAGCAGGATGATGAGGCAGAAGCTTGGCGCGCTCCAGGGGCAGCGAGGAGGCTGGCGCGGCTGGTGGGGGTCAGAGTGGAGGAGAGCGACAGGAGAGACAGTGGGGGCCAGGTCCGGCCCGGTCTGCCAGCCGTCGCCCAACGTCTGCCCCTCCCCCATTTCACAGTTCACACGGGGACCATGCTCCCCCAGCCCCCTGACGCTGGGGGTGGCCGTGGGACCAGGTTCCCGACAACGGGATTTGACCGAAAGGGATTACTCCCTTCCTGCTGACTGGTGGCAGCCGACCAGACCAGGTGGATGAGGGTCACACCCGGGGCTGGAGAGGCCACAGGATGGAAGGGGTCTGGGACCTGGGGCCCAGGAATCAGGGACACCTGGACTGTTCCAGGAGAGAGAACCGAGCGACTCTGGTTTAAGGCCCCTTCCTCGGGCCTCTTTGTCGTAGCAGCAGGTCCTGAAGCCTTGCTGATACAGACAAGGAAGGGCGGAGCCAGGAAGGAGCAGGCCCGTTCTCACAATACCCACTTCTCCACGGGGCAGTGACGCATCCCCTCCCCAGCCTGGCTCCTCACCTTGGACTCCCACTCCATGCCGGCCAGGGAGATGGCCAGCAGCACGGTGACGGTGACCACGCCGATGATTCGGATGTCGTTGGTGGGGTCCACGATGGGCGAGCCGTACTCCTGGGGGAGGGGAACGGGCCAGGCTGCGAGCTGCGCCCTGAGCCCCTCCGCCTGGGTTCCCTGCCTTTGCGGCCGCTCTCTCCCAGGAAAGCACAAACCCAGACGCCTTCCCCGCCTCACAGGGGTGTCCCACCTGCGGCCCGCGGGCTGCATGCGGCCCGGGATGGCTGTGAATTTACTTAATTGTGATGCCATGCCTCGATGTATCGAGTGTGGGGCCCCAAATAACTCTTTGTCTTCCAGTGTGGCCCAGAGATACCGAAAGGCTGGACCCGCCTGCTAGAGCCTTCAAAGGCTGCAGCAGCTGCGTGGTCCGGACGGTGTGGCCCTAGAGGCAACACGCACACCTGAAGGGCCTTTGGGGAATGGCCTTCCTTGGATGAGATTGTCACGGTCACCTGCAGGGATCAGGTGGTGGCCTTGGTCCCTGACGGGCAAACTGGGCCAAGGAAGGCCCAGCCGGATTGGGTGAAGGAGGCCGCGGCCCCCTCCGCCCGGGCTCAGCCCCGCCTCACCTGGAGCAGGTCCCGCACAGTCTCCGCGAAGCCCACCGTGTGCATGGCCACACCCACGGCGTTGGCGAAGGCGAAAATGAGGCCGATGGAGCCCCCTAACTCTGGGCCCAGACTCCGGGAGATGAGGAAGTAGGTGCCACCTATTGGGGACAGAGGAGTTGGCTGGCTGGACTGGACGAGGGCAGGAGAAGCGGAGGCGGGGAGAGGGTGGCCTCGGGCTCCGTGGGGCCCGCAGCGCAGGGGGGACCCGGGCCACCCCGCGAGTGTGCAGGGCCCGCCCAAAGCCCGCACCTGGAACCAGAAGGAGCAGCCTGGGGTGTCCCAGTGTTGGGGGTGGGTAGGGAGCAGTTCAGAGACCCGGCCCCAGTGCGCAGACTGGGGGACCTATAAGGGGAGGTGGGTGGGGAAAGGCAGTGGTGGGGGTGGGGCAGGGCGCACCTGACTTGACCTTGCCGTTGGTGGAGATGGCCGAGATGGAGAGGCCGGTGATGGAGGTCACGGTGACCGAGAGCAGGATGATGATCCAGGTCAGGACTGGGGGGGCGGGTGGGGACCTGGTCACCCCAGAACTCAGTGGGAGCATTTCCCAGGTGAGGAGCCTGAGTCAGCCGACTGGTTGGCCCTGTGGCTGAACTCACTACTCTTCTCTGAGCCTCTGTCCGCTCATCTGAAAAATGGATTTCTGTCTACCTCCTAGTCTAGCCTGAAGAGTCAGGGGGCTGATGAGCCAACAGGTGAAAGGTCATTAGGTATGGAAGGGAAAGTACTCTTTTTTAATAATAAAAAATAAAGCAAGAGTTACCACTTGGTGAGCACCTCTGGGTGCCAAGTCCCATGCCATTTACATGCATCATAGAAACCCAACAACAGGTCTCTGAGGTGGAGACAATTATCACCCCCCTTTTACTGATGAGAAAGCCAAGGCTCAGAGAGGTTGAGAACCTTGTTTGAGGTCACACAGCATGGCGCAGAGCTAGCATCTGAACACTGGTCTGTCTGGAGAGCAGGTTTCTAACCCGGATGCTCTATAGCAGAAATTGGCTCCGAGAGGTTCAGTGACTTGCTCAGGGCACCCAGAGCCAGCGAGGGCCCTCAGGGCTGCTGACCCCATGTCCCATGCTCCTCTGCCACACCTCCCCGACCTCTGTCACTGCAGGGGCCCAGGGTCTCTGCTGCCCAAGTTCAAGCACACCTTCCCCTACCCCCCAAGGGTGGAACTCACCGATGCCTGCCTGGGCCGTGATCCACGGGAGCCGCAGGTAGAGGATCACACCCCAGATGTTGAGCATACACCGGATCTGGGAGGAGAGGGGTGTCAGGCGTCACCTGCGGGGTGGGGGGGTTGGATACCCCGAGGCCAAACACACAAGCCCCTGTCTGCAGTCACGGCGTGTCATCAGGCACCTAGGCCTTGGAGACGCCTGGGTCCTTTCTTTGCTTCACCCACTTCAATGGTCCTCCAGTTTTGTGGGGCAGGGAGGGAGGGGAGGAACCCAGAGACCCACCTGCCCCTCCCACCCACTTCCCTGCGCTCCCCCCGGAGGCCCGAGGGTGGGCTGCAAGCACCGCCACCCCTGCCCTGCCCCCAGCCCGGGATCCTGTGTCTGGCAGTCCCAACCACGTTCCCCATGGCCTGCTGCTGGCCCAGGGCCTGGCATTTCGGGGCAGCTCAGCAAATGCTAGCTGGGCCAATGCCCTCCATACAGGCAGAAATCAGGCCTCGGGTGGCAGAGGCCTTGGCTGAGGCTGACATTCCCCGGGGCGAGGCCTGCCCCAGCCGAGTCGGGTTGGGACAGGGGCGTGTGGGAGATTTCTAAGGCCTCCCATCTGCTCTGAGACACCGGACGGGCCATGCTGGGCTCTGGCCACCGCAGTCCGGGCGGGAGATCCAGCACCTCCACACGAACCTCGGGGGGTGGGGTGGGCAGGGCTCACCGTTCAGACAGAGGACCTGAGGCACAGCCAGGAGGCAGCTGGGCAGAGGTAAGGTCAGAACGCTGGCCCACTGCCTCCCAGAGCAAGACTAACATTTTCTCTTACACCTCACGCAACCCCCTCTGTAAAGTCCCCTAATGTCGTCCAAAGCCAAGTTCACTTGATTCTTCGCTGTCTGGAGACTTACTGGTGCTCTGCACCACAGCAAACCTTCCCCTTCCCATCATGGAAAACGAGAAAAACACACTGTGGATTCGTGTGGTTAGTGCTGCCCTCTGGTGGCCACTCTTGGGAAGCACCATTTCTTCTAATAACTCCAAGGCAGGCCTTGCTTCAAGCACTTTACATGCAATGCTCGGCATTTCCCAGATGAGGAAACTGAGGCACAGGTTAAGTAACTTGTCCAAGGTCACGGGACAAGTGAGGAGCCAGAACGAGATCTGCTTAGAGCCAGGTCTCAGTCTGGGGAGGGCGGGGGGTGGTAAACAAAGGACAGGAAGTACAAAACCAGAGGAAATTTGAGGTCACTATGCAGATGGGGAAACTGAGGTCCAGGATGGGCCTTGGCCTGCCCTGCCCACTAAGGGCTGCATGCCAGAGCTGAGGCTGGATGGAGCTCTGCATGCCCACCCACGTTCCCAAAGGCCCGCCCCACGCCCCACGCCCCACTCACCATCACGCCCTTGACCCAGCCAAAGCGCACGGGCTCCCCGGGGCTCTTCTCCACGTTGGCGCCTGCCTCGTCCTCCACGAGCCCATCCGTCATCTCGTGGCTGGGCCGGCCGTCAAAGGCCAGGGCGTGCAGGTGGCTGCCTTCCTGCTGGGGGCCCGGGGACCGCGGCGGGTGAGCTCCTGGCCCTCCACCCTCTGCAGTCTAGCCTCCCCGGCAGCAAACCCAGCAAGCCTCTTTCCTGACGCAGACCTTGCTCCCTCTCCGCTCCCTGTCTCTTTCCGTGGTCCTGAACCTCTGCTTTGCATACTTCCACTGACGGGGAGCTCACTACCTCTCCAGGCAGCCCTAGTTTGCTCAATTGGGTTGCTGCTGCCTGGGCAGTAAACATTACAACACGTGCCCAGGGCCCCACAGCTCCCGCGTCCACATTTCATCAGGGCCTCTCGACTCACGAGGGAGACACAGCCTCATGGCAGAGACGACAGAGCCAAGGCTCAGAGAGGTTAGGCAACTGGGTCAAGGTCCCACAGCAGGGAAGTGGCCAACCTCCTGAGACTGATGCTTACCTTAAGGAAGGAGTGCAGGTCAGCCAGCGTGGGCCGGACCTTTCGGGGCTCACCGGGCAGGGCGCTGTTGGCATAGTGCTCGTAGGCTGGCACCACGTCAATGGTGTTATAGCCAAAGGTTCGCATGTATAAGGTGCTGCCGTGGGTCAGGTGGCTAGGGTGGCTGCTGTCATAGGCAGCCGGTGGCGGGGGCTCCTCGCCCCCCAACAGTGTGCTGATGGTGAAGCGCCCACTGCACAGAGTGGAGTCCCCCGGCATCTCAGACGCCTGCAGCTCTGCCATCGTGGCTCTGGGTGTCAGGGGAGGGGGCCAGGGTCGGCGGGGACACGCAGGGTGACTTTATAGGCTGGGCCTGCAGCAGAGAGGAGGCAGGGAGGTTGGCCCGGACCGCCCACAGCTGGCGAGCAGGGTCCCTGGACCGGGTGGGAGGCAGAGCACGTGCCCACTGCTGCCCTGCCCACCGTGTGATCGCTGAGATAGCGGGGCGCCTGGGACCGGAGGAGGGCCAGGCGCAAGGCCTGCTGCCCCTGCCCCAGCCGGGAAGGGCTGCCCCAGCTCCCGAGCTCCCCAGCCCGGCCCCCTCCCGCCCCCCTGGTGCGCGCCCTGCACACTGGCTGCCGTCTCTGTCTGCTTCCTGGGCGCGGGCGGCTCTCGCCTCCCCGTCACCCCTGCTGGGCTTGTTGGCGTCTGTCAGCCTTTCGCCCAACAAACCTTCACTGCACAGCTTCCATGCCATGGGTGGTGACCCCCATGGAGCCGGGACCCCCGCAGCAGGCCCTGCGGCTGTGCTCATGGTGCCGCTGAGTCGGCGGGGAATGGGGCAGGGACTCAGACCAGTGCAACAACTGGTCAGGGTGCTCTGGAAGGGGGCCCGGGTGGGGGCAGTCGGGGACAGGACCAGAGTCTTGGAGGACAAGGCAGGGGATGAACAGAGGCCTCGAGGCCACCACCAGCTCCAGCTCCAGGCCTCGGAGCGTGGCTTGTGCTTGGCTCCTGCCACCCTTGGGAGGGACACGGAGGGACACCTTTTCCCCTCTCCCTACTTTGCCTCCCAGACCTGGGTTCTCAGAGCCCACACGGGTCCCCCGAGGACCAGCTCTGAGATGCTCAGCATCTTTGGGACTTCACGGTGTCCAATGCGAGTCAGCCCTTGGGACTGAGAGCTTTTGGAGGGCCCACCCTGGTCACGCTGTCCCCGATCGTTCCCGGTCCGGAGAGCCCAGGACCAGGTGTGCCGGGCTGCGGGGCCGGGCAGCAAGGGCAGGTGGAAATGCTCAGACTGTGTCAGAGCAGCAAGCTGGGATGGGGACTGGCCCTCCAGGTTAGGGGGTGCTTAACCTGGAGTCCAGGAGCCCCAAAAAACTGTGGGCAAGGTTTTATACCCAAGCGCTCTTTTCCAGAAGGAGGACATTCATCCCATCCAACCTGTTGGCTGGTCCGCACGGGCGTGGGTCTGAGCCCATCATGTGCACGGATTCCAAGCAAGTAGAGAGCACAGAGTAGGTCCTCAACAAATGCGTGTTGAGTGAATAACAAAGGGGACCAGGCCAAAGAGGGCAGAGAGGAGTCGCTGTAGGGACCCTTGGGGGGCAGAATTACCCCAAGTGGGGGTCAGTGCTACGGACAGCTCCCCGGGGTTCTCCCTGGGAGACCGGGTGTGGAGATGAGCTCAGGACCACAGGACTCGGTGACAAAACTCCTCGCAAAGTTTGTGTATTTGCCTTATGTGTGGATTTTTGTTTAAGGACCTCTCAGGGGCCCCTCTTAGCGCCTCCCGGGCTTGCCTCCCCCCATCCCCAGGAGCTCCAGTCCCTCCCCAGAGAGCCTGCTGCAGGGGCGTGTCCCCCACCCCACGACAGCTGCCGGTGGCAGGGGGGACTCCAGGTCAAGGACCCCCATCCTGGTCAATGTTCCACCTTGGGGCCCCCCCTCCTCGGGCGGGGAGGGGCCTGTGGTTACTCATTCCCTCCCATGGGCCTCCTGGGGAAGATCTTATCACCCCTCTCGCTCTTAAACTGCCACCTGACTGGCGAAAATCACAGCTGCCCCTCGTCCCCTGACACCCTTCCCGCACGCCCTGACCCTGGAGGAGCTGTGGAAAATTCCTGATAAAGATCTCCGGGGAGGGAGGGGCAGGGCTGGTTTCCAGCACCACCTGGGGGGCCGGAGGGGGCACTGTGAAGGCGCCACAGGTTGGCTGGGTGGCCCTGGGTGACCCCTTCCTCCTCCCTCCGCAATGCTCGGGCCGGGTCAGCTCCCAGGTCCCTCCCAGCCCTGGAGGAGAACAGTGGCTGCTTCTAGGCGCCTTTCCCGCCCCGCCCCCCCAGCCCCACCTCTCTCTGGGGCGGGGAGGGGTATGAGCGGGACCCCTCCCGGGGCTGGCAGCAGAACGGGCTGAAGGGACCATATGAACACCTGTGCCAAAGCACGAGAACTCCCCTTTAGGAAGCGGGTCCCTGCATGTGGATGGAGTTGCACCCCTTTGAGAAATGTCCACGGGGGTCCCTTCCTGACGGGTACCCAGTGTCGGGTCAGACGCAGCTCCTGCCTCCCAGGGCCTCAGCCTCCAGGGGGCGCTCAGAGCCCCTCGGGTCTGAGACCCGGGGCCCAGAATGGGGCGTGTCTGACCAAGCAGAGCCCTGCCAAGGGGTTGCAGGGGGTCTCAGGCTCCGGTCAGCTCTCAGCTTCTGAATGACTTTGAGCAAATCGCCTGACCCCAGGGGCCCTCGGCTAGGCCGACCCCTGGCTGAGCGGCCGGGGGCCCCTCGCCCCATTTCCTGATTCTCAGGGCAGAGAACTGGGGCGCAAAAGGGGCTCAGTGGTCAGGAAACTCCCTGGAGGGGAAGCCCCTGTGTGCAGGCGCCGAAATGTTGAGGACGGTGTGGGGGGGAGCCCCTGCAGCAGCCTCTGAATCTCAGGGCCACAAGGCACCTAGGCATTCATTGTGCCCCTCCTGTATACCAGGCACCGAAACTCACCACCTAGCCTGGCAGACGAAGCAGCAGAGGAGGGGGCTGCCCAGGAGAGGTGAGGAGGGGGGTAGGTGTGGCCGGAGGGGCCTCTGGGGCACAGGGTCGGGGTAAATGCAGGGTCAGCGCAAGGGAAGAAGAGGTGGGTGGGGACGGGGGGGGTAGGGAAGGAAGGGTGGAAGATGGGGCTGAAGGGGGTCCAATTGTTTCTTCATCCATACACATTTATTGAGTGCCGCCTGCATACCAGCATGCCCTCCCAGGGCATGATGCCCTGTGCTAGGCAGCACAGACACGGGGGACGAGACACAGGCCCTGCCCTCCTGGAGCTCACATTCTAGGGGAGAGACAGTAGACAAGCAATCATTATAACACACTCAGTGACTCAGTGACACGTGCTGTGAGGAAAACAAAACTTTTTTTTTTTTTTTTTGAGGGGCATTTAGGTCTGTCTGAGGATGAGCTACTCGAGCTGAGCTCCCACAGGGAGAGGAAGCCACCCATCTGTGCGCAGGGGTTCCCGACAGCGGGCAGAGCCTGTGCAAAGGCCCTGGGGTGGGCGGTCGGTGTGCTTGGGGCGTCAGGACAGCAAGGGAGCAGGTACGGCTGGGGCACAAGGACTGGGGAGAGGGCCTCTGAGACATGGAGGAGGGACCATCTAAGCCGGGGTTAGAAGTTCCATGTTCTGTCATGTGATGGTCAGATTTCTATTTTTCAAAGATCCCTTTGGCCACTGTGTGGGGGAGTGGACTGAGGGAGGCAAGGCCAGTCAGGGGCCGGGGCAGGTGTGCGGTGGTGGTGTCGGGCCAGGGGGGCCGTAGGGGGTGGCAGGACCCATCCTCTAGTGCGTTTGGGGCAAGGGCTCCGGAGCGGAGAGGAATGGGGGACTCTGTGGGGGAGACGGCGGTCTCCTTGGTGAGCAGGGAAAGCTGGAGAGAAGGGACTTGAATATCAGGGCACAGAGTCCTGGCCGTCGCCCTGGGCGGCAGAGGAAAGCTGCTGGGGTCGGCAGAGGAAAGCTGCTGGGGTCAGCAGTGGTGCGGTGAGCAGGGCCAGGCCGGGCCAGGGAGGGCGGGAGGGGCCGTGGCAGCAGTCAGCAGGGACAAAGCCCCAGCTGGGAGCCCTGGGCTGGGGTCTGAGCATCCCTCAGCCACCGCTGTCACCTGCTGATTCCCTGGCGCCATGCGGGAGGTTCTGTGGCCCTGCAGCAGAGGAGGGCTGGGGCCAGCATCAGCATTTTTGGGAAGGCCCCCCCGGCTGGTCCTGAAGAGGAGCATCCTGCTTGCCAAGAACAACAATCTTTCCCACAGACTACCCCCGCCGCCCCCCCCCCCACCCCCGCCCAGGTCCGCGTCCGCCGGTCCCACGTCCCACGAGGCTCGCCTGGAGAGGATGGGTATGATGCAACCCTGGTGTCGTGAAATAGCCGGGTAAGAGGATGCGCTGCTCGTCGGCCTGATTCACAACACCAGCTGCAGCAACCATACCAGAGCTCCGCCGGCTTCCTCCTCCGGGGGTGGCTGCGTGGCTTGGAGACCCCGGCCGGCCCGGACAAGCATCCTCCCCGACGGGTGGCGGCCCCGGATGGCCATAGCGGTGCCAGGGCGCAGGGATGGAAGGATGTGAAGGATGGAGGTGGGGTCCCTGCCCACGGGGGGCTCACAGACTTGGTGGTCCCCAGGGAGAGGGGAGCAGACACAAAATCCCCAGCAGGGTGGCGGGGCAGAGCGAGGGTGGAAGGACGGGCCCCCGGGAAGGCCTGGGGGGGCAGAGGCTGGATTGCAACCGCTCCGGCAACCAGGGCCAAGACACTGGGGTTTCTCCTGAGCCTTGCTGGCCACATAAGTGTCTGTTGTGTCCCTGGCCCTGCTACCCAGACAACGTTAGAGCAGTTAGACTCTGAAGTGCCTTGAAGCTACTGGCAGCTAAGGCAAAGAGGGAAATGTGATTGATGAGTTAACATGGTTTCATTGTTAAAGGAAGAACTTTTTTTTCCTTTTTCGTGGTCAGACTTGCTTTTTTAAAAAATCCTATTTAGCTAACATTCATTCCGGAAGTCAGTGTAAGGTTTACAGTCTGGCTGTTTTGGAGGACAGACAGAAGGCATGATCGCTATCCTCAAGAAGCATATAGTGCATCAGGGGTGGTAAAGCCAGCAGTGGCCTCGTCCCAAGGCACAAAGGCACAGACCCCTGGCTGAGATGCTACACGGGTTCAGAGAAGGGATGACCTCCTCCCGCTGGGGCAATGGTGGAGTGCGGTGTATGAAGTAGCAGAGGTAGGATAAAAGCAAAAAGCAGTAAGCTACTATTTAATGAGGGAAATGGCCAAACGTTAG